TCTTATTTCTCCTATTCCTTTCTTGACTTCTCCTTTCTCCCGTTTCCAGTGTATTCATGCTAATTTCTTCATCCTTCCCGTTTCCTGATGTTTTATCCCTCTCTCTTTTTTCGGTTTTTTTTTCTATTTACTACTTGCTTTTTTTCTCTTATTTTTTTTTTCTTCTTCTTACTTGTGCTTCCTCTTTTCCTTTTTATTGCTTTTTCTTGGTTCTTCTATCTCGCTTTTTATTTTTTTTTCTTACTTTTTCTTCTTTCCTTTACTATTTTTGTTCTTTCTCTCTTGCTTTCCTTTTGTTTTTTTAGTTTCCTTTTTTCTTTTCTTCTTCTTGTTACTGTTGTCGTGAATTGCTTTTCTCTTGCTTATTTCGTTCTTTCTTCTTCTTTCTCATTTTTTTCTGTTTAATTTATTTTTTCTTTTTTTTCTCTTTAATTTCATTCTGCTTTCTGCTTCTATTTTTTTGCTTTCTGTGTTCTTTTTTTCTTTCCATATTCTTATTTTTTATTATTTTTTCATTATTCTTATTGCTTATATTATTGCCTTTTTTGGTCTCCTTGTCTTTTTCTTTCTTTTTTCTTTTCCTTTCTTTTTTTCTTTTTTTCTTACTTTCTCTTTTTTTAGTTTTCTTTCTGCTGTTCTCTTATTTATTGTTTACTTCTTTTTCTTTTTTCTTTTTCCTGTTTCTTTCTTTTGTTTTGTTTGTTTTGTTTTCTGCTATCGATTGTTTTTTCATATTTTCTTTCTTCTTTTCTTCCTTTTTCTTGTTCTTTTTTCTTATTGTGTGACGCTTTTATTTTTCTTGTTCAGTTTATTGTCTTCTTATCACGTTCCTTTTGCTTTTTGTTTTTTTTCGCTGTCCTCCTTTTTCTTTTATCTTCTTTTTTTCTTTTTCTTCATCATCTTCTTTTTTGTCATCTTCTTTTTTGTCTTCTTCTTTTCTCTTCTTTTTTTTCTTCTATATTGTTTCTTCCTGTTCCTTCTTTATTCCTTTTTTATGTCCTTTTTTTTTCTTTTTTTTCTTTCTTTTTGTTATTTTTTTCTCTCCTCTTTTCTTGTTTTCCTTTTCTTTTCCCTGTTTCTTCTCTTACGTTTTTTGTCGTTTTCTATCTTATTTTTTGTTACTTTTGTTCTGAACCTTTTTTTCTATGTTTTCTTTTTCTTTTTTCTATTTTTTGTTGTTCTTTTTCCTTGTTCTTTCCCAGTGCCTTTCTCTTGTCACTCCTCTCATTTTTTTTTTGTTTCTTCTTTTTTTTATTTTTCTTGTTCATTCTTTTCTTGTTTTATGATTTTTTCCTTTTTCATTCTTTTGCTGCTCTTAGTTATTTTATCTCTTTTCTTTCATTTCTTTTTCTTCTCTCTTTTTTTTTATTCTTTGTTCCTATTTTTGCTTTTTGTCCATTGTTCATCTCTCTTTTGCTCTTATTTTTTCTATTATGCTTTTCTCTCTTGCTTCCTCCCTTTTATTATCTTGCTTTTTTGTCTTTTTCCTCTTTTTTGTTATCATTTTTTCTTTTTATTTTATTGTATTTTATTTTTTCCTTTTTCTTTGTTTATCTTTTGTTCTTCATTATTTCGTTTTCATTCATTATTTTTGTTTTCTCTTCTTGTTCCTTTTTGATTTGCTTATATTTTTTTTTTTTTTTTTGTTTCTTTGCAGCTTTTTTGCTACTTATTTTTCTTTTTATCTCTTACTTTTTTTCTCTTATTTTTTTTTTCTTCTTCTTACTTGTGCTTCCTCTTTTCCTTTTTATTGCTTTTTCTTGGTTCTTCTATCTCGCTTTTTATTTTTTTTTCTTACTTTTTCTTCTTTCCTTTACTATTTTTGTTCTTTCTCTCTTGCTTTCCTTTTGTTTTTTTAGTTTCCTTTTTTCTTTTCTTCTTCTTGTTACTGTTGTCGTGAATTGCTTTTCTCTTGCTTATTTCGTTCTTTCTTCTTCTTTCTCATTTTTTTCTGTTTAATTTATTTTTTCTTTTTTTTCTCTTTAATTTCATTTTTCTTCTGCTTCATTTTTCTTTGTTTTATTTTTTTATTTGATCTCTTCTTCTCTTTTCGCTATTTTCTATTCATCTTACTTTTTTCTTTTTTCTGTTTTTTATTTTCCTTCTGTCTTTTTTTTTCTTTTTTCTTTTTTTTTTTTTTCTTGCTTTCTTGTCTCTTTCTTTTTTTACTTTTTTTTTTTTTCTTTCTTTCTTTTTTTCTTTTTTTCTCTTTTTTTTTCTTTTTTTTTCATTATTTTCTACTCTTCCTTTCATATTTCTTTCTTTTCTTTTCTTCTTTTATCTATTCTTTATTTTTTTTGTCTTTTTCTTCTTTCTGATTTCTCCCATTTTCTTTTCTTTGTGATCTTAT